AGAGCACATCCAGTTAGTCACAGTCAGAGAAACAGGACTACACTGGAAAACAGGCCAAGCTCCCATGTCAGAGGATGAATTATTATTATTTCATCAATAATTGTGTCCCAGACTTCCTCGGTTCCACATTAAAGCCATAATCCCAAATTATATCAATAAGAAGGTCTGTTTGGATTAATAAGAGCGAGAGTGATTGTAGGAGGGAAATGATTCTCTAGGAAAGGAGCTCCGATTAGATTAATGATGATGGTAGAGCTCCTCCTCCTGATAGAGCTGCCATCACATCAACACTTTAAACCGTTAATAAATGTGCAAAACTCTTCCTCCTATTCAGAGCTCTTCCACAGAAGTTGGAAAAGTTGGAAATTTGTCTTGGATTATTGGAAATGGTGCCACTAATATTGAATTGATGTATTGAGTTTATTTTTGGATCCATTTCTTTCTGGATTAAACAGTTTGGATCTATTTCTTTCTGGATCAAACAGTTTGGATCCATTTCTTTCTGGATCAAACAGTTTGGATCCATTTCTTTCTGGATCAAACAGTTTGGATCCAAAGTTTCAGATTTTGTTAAATTATTCTTCCAAGATTTCTGGAAACAGGTCGTAATCTGATTACCTCAGATTTCACTCCCATATTGATTTAATTATTTGGAAGAATCTAATTTGAAAGGTTCCCAAATGCTGCAGGAGGGCGTCTCCTTGGTGATGTAGATATAGATGATATAGAATCTATGAACATGAACTTTAACCATGTCGTGCTTTAATAAGGAATTATTTACACTAAGTTATTTATGGATATTTACATGAACTGCTCCATCCAATAAAAATGGCCTCCTTCAGTTGGAGCCTCATCGTCATGGTTACCCAGGGCACCATAGATGGGGGCGGGTCTTAACTATTGCAGACTCGCCGTACCTTTACCTTCCTTCGCGTTTCCCAGAATTCATTTTGTTAACTAGCTGTTAGCAATCTGGATTAAAGCTGCTGATCCCTGCATGCATGTAAACGGCTCCTACTGCTCCCAATCTGACTGATCTAGATCTATGTTCCTCTCTACTGATCTCTGGGAGACTAACTATGATTCAAACTGTGTTTAATATTAGTATAGAAAATGAAGGTTTCTGTAGAATAAAAGTAAATAGAAACAAAGTATTAGAAAAGAAGATTTTATTGGATTGAGATGGAGTGTCTTTTATAGAACAGGTTTGTTTTTATCCAGAACAGTGAAGCCAAACTAAAGGATAAAAGTTCATTTCTACCAATTTTAGCCCAAATAAAAACCTGAGAGAATAAAAAGCAGAGACCATCTCAGCAGCTGAGATGCAGTAGTGCGTCAGTAACTTCCCATCGTGTCCCGCAGGTTTACTTCATAGAGTAAATACACACCCTGGAGGCGGCTCCCAGCCGCCGTCAGGCTCCAGGAGGCTGGACCAATCAAATCAGGCGCATTCCGGCTCCCACCAATCAGAACGGGGCTCCTCCGGTGTCAGAGCTCATCCTGCAGAACAAGCAGGCAGAAATGTGCTGATTCTGTCCAGCAGACCCCCTGATCGCCAAACCAGGTGACGTTACCTTTGGCGTGCTGTGTAACCGTGGCGACAGCTGTTCCAGGCGGCTCCTGATGATGTCAGCGATGGTGTTTGCGTCCCGGCTGTTGATGTGCTCCCCGCTGTGTTCATACTGCAGGGAGAGCAACAAGCTCCTGAGTGATGCGGTTTACATTAAAGGGAGCAACAAGGCGCCCCCTGCTGGTTGAATGCTGCAGCCTCACCCTCCTGGATCCTCGGTAGGCGTAGAAGCGCACTGTAGGGTAGGCGGTTATCCCAGCTGACTGACACGTCTCATAGTGGGCCTGACAGTCCACCTTCCCGGACCGGACCTCCCCCTTCAGCGTCTGTCAGAGGAAGAACACAACATAGCTAGCTCCCAGTGAAAGCTAAGCTAACGTTTCATTTTTTGGAGTTTTTACGGCGCTAATGGCTCGTTTTTCTGACAGCAGACTGACAGGAAAGAGGGATGAGAGAGGAGAAGGAGAGACATGCGGCAAAGGACCACAGGTCGCTACTCGAACCCAGGTCACCCACGTCAAGCACTAAGGCCTCCATACATGGCTAGTGCGCGCTAAGCTAACACTTTGGAGCGAATCTAAACATTAGGGTGCTGGCCAGGAGCTCATCCAAGCCCTGGACTTGGAGCCGCCGGCTGAAGATCAGAGAAGGAAAACTTCAGGAGAACAAAACGGTTTTTCTTCCAAAAAACAAAATAACTTCTTGGTGTTAAAATGATTTTAGGTTGAATCTAAACCGTCACTACAGACAGACGAGCGTCTCACCCGGGCCAGGATCTCAAACTCCGGAGCAAAGTGTTGACATGGTCCGCACCAGGGGGCATAGAAATCCAGAACCCAGTGATCCCGACCTGAAAGAACCTGGGATCTGAAGGTCTCTGGAGTCAGGTCCACCGACGCTCTGGGCAACGAGCTGCAGGAGAAACACTCCCGTTAGTCTGATACCAACCTGTTCTGCCCCAGGATGGGGGAGGATGAGGAGGTCAGAGGCAGATACCTCAGCGCCCAGGCTCTCAGCGTTTGGGCGTCTCTGCTCCAGCCGCTGTAGGTCCTGCAGAGAGAACTAGATGTTGGTAGAAGATCCTACTGACTCTGACCTCCATCTGACGCGGTACTGACGCATAGCGGTCCGGCTGCTTGCTGCTCCCGGCGTACAGGCGGACCTCAGGGTAGGCCCTCACTCCCTGGCTCTGGCAGAAGGTCTGGAAGCGCTGACAGTCCAGGGAACCCACCAGGATCTGACCAGAAACCATCTGCAGGGGGAGGAGACACAGCTTAGGACGCTGATGGCCGGTTGGACTCATCCTGAACACCCAGGTAATCTAACGGTTTGGAGCAAAGCTGAACTTAGAGCCTCAGGTCGTACCCGAGCCATGCGTCTCCACTCTGGCATCATGGCCTGACAGGGACCGCACCAAGGAGCGTAGAAGTCCACCGCCCAGGTCTGCCCCTCAGCTCTGCCTGAAACACCAACACCACCCGGGTCAGCTGGCTGTGGGTTCAGCAAACCTTCCAAACTGGACTATGTACCTTTAACTTTGTCTGAGAAGCTGGAGGGATCGAGGACCACCACCGACGGGTTGACCAGGTCCTGCAGAGGCAGACCAACTCTATCAGAACCAGAACATCCCCTAACCGCCCTAAGCTCAGAGAAGCTGCTGCTCTGAACTCACCTGGATGAACTCCAAGATGCCGTCAGCAGAGTGATGTCCTTCATATTCATGCAGAGACGAGCCGTTGAAGATGACGGTGGTGGGATACGCTTGGATGTTATACTGACACCCAGAGAGAGAGAGGATGAGCAGCTGATCCGCCATTACTGATCCTAACCACCCCCCCCCAGCTCACCGTGGAGCACAGGTCTGGATGGACCGTACAGTCCAGGGTCCCAAACTTCATCTGTCCCGCCAGCTGGATGGACGCTTTCCTCAGTTCAGGAAGTAAAGCTCTGCATGGAGGACACCACTGCACACAGGGAGGGAAACAACATGGCCGCAGGTCAGAACCAGTTCAGGTCTGGTCTGGTCCCAGAGACCTGCTGCAGGTCAGCA